ACAGAAATATAATGTATTCATATAAGAGTTTGTCATGAAGAAATGTACAAGAGTGCTCAAAGGAAAAACCCCGTCTAGAAAAATCCCAGGTGTCTAAAAAGAGGTATGTGTATCAAAACGCGAAATACAAAGAACAATTATCCACAGTCATAAGGAGACCCCATGAGATCTATTCGTCATCAAAGATTTGTACACGATCCGCATACTCGCGGATTTTGGAGACGAAAGTCTCTTCGATCAAATCACCTTTGCCGCCAGCGACACGAAGAAGAAGGTCGTTGAGTGAGGCGCGACCTAAGATGTCCACGTGGTCACCTATATACAGTTAGTCGTCTGTCATACGGAATGGGAAAGAATAGGCAATGGAGCAAAGAAAACATACCAGTGTTGGGACCACCACGGGGCGAGAAGCGATCAGGCTCATGAGGCATCTCAAAGACCTTGATCTTTGTGCCGGCTGGGTTATAACGCTTCATGCGCCAGCCTTTGGCGCACATATAGCCCGTGCTAAGCAAGTTCACGGTGCCGTCGCCCTCACCCATTAAAACGCCGTGGTCAACGCCCTCATTGTTGGTGATGGTGGTGTCCATGCTGATCTTGAGGTTGATCAGTGGGTCAGGCTCTTCCTGGTAGTAGTAGCTGCGCTCTGTGGGTTTGCCCACGCCATAGAAGCAATAAATCTTCATGTCTGGGGCAAGGGGTAGGCGCGACTCTAGAGGGTTGAGCCAGGTACGCGGGTCCTTCTCGTTGGCTTCGACCTCGCGTTTCGTATGCGCGACGCCGTGCGAGTAGCTGTTCAGGACCTGGTTCCGGTACCAATCCTCGCTCTGGTCCAGGAGGAATTGCAGACTCTCTGTCGTGGTGAGATTCTGTTGTGTCAGGGATGAGTTTGAGTCTTGGAAGCGGAGTAGGTTGCCAAAGGTCAGGGGCTGGCCTGGTTGGTCATCTGGTGCCCAGGTCGAGTTTCCCCATATGGCCTCACCACCTTTGGGTAGCATGCTGGAGATACCGGGCATCGCGCGGAAGATCTCCGCGCGTTCCTCTTTCGATAGGAATTTCTCCAGTCCATACACGGCAAAGGCGTTCAGTTGCGCAGTATCCCGCATCTCTCCGGACAGAACAGCAGTCAACCCCTTGACAGCGCCCAGCATACAGCCACTGATGTTGACCCACGAGTCAATATGTTTGTTAACCCAGTCTTTGCCGCCCTTTCCGTGATCCTCGCTCTCTACCCACTTGAAGAAATACAACACGACCTGAGATCCCATGCTGTGCGATGCCAGCGTGATTTTCTCGCCCTGTACCTGCACCGCGGTCTCGATGTAGGACTTGAGTCGAGTGAAATACCTATCACGAACTTCGAGATTGAGATATGAGAGTCGCCAGTCGTATGCAGCCGTAAACGCATTGGTTGGGTCATATCCAATGGTAGCCAGATTCTCCAGGATTTTATTCCATATCCAGTATCCCGTGATAAAGAAATCCGTGGCATCGAATCCCTGCGCTGCACGGAGCTTGATGCCAGGCGGGTCAAGGCCTGTATCCCGATCAAGCATGACATGGTTCTTCCATTCAGCTTTATCCATGACTAACGCTCTCATCATGCTCCAACTGCCCCATAATCGTCGGCGGAAGTATTGCCGCGAGGTTTCCCCTGTGCCCCAGCTCTCCAAGCCAGTCGAGATAACTCCAGGGATCATCACGACGGGATGTTTGGCTTCTACGCCCTGAGCTCGAAGTTGTAGTCCAACAGCAAACGAATCATAGCTGACGGTATCGCGTTCGTGTTGCTATATCGCCGGGGGAAGTCAGATACATGGTAACCAGATGTAGAGATAAGAGCACTCCCTTGGAAAGCACGTACCGAGAATTCTTTCACGTCACTGACAATTCCCTGTGGAATGGACTCAATCCATGAGTCGAGATTTAAGTCCATGAGCGAATCCAGGCTTATGACCTCATGCTGGTTCGCGAAGAATAATGCGACGAAGATGCCGAAGATCCCGCCCAGCATGAAGATGAACCCATTGCGACGTTTACTCCGGGGTTTGATGATTATCTGCTTGGTTTTTGTCTCATGAAACTCCGCCCGAAGTTGTTCTTCCTGGATACCTGTATCGCCGCTAACTTTGTTAGAGGGCGGGACCTTGTCCTTGCCCGTGCGGCGGCGGAACATAACGACCAACCGCGAGGAAGGGAGAAGAAGGAGAGGACGTAATAGATTTTCCTGGAATATTGATTGGCAAAAGCAACAAAGTAGAGGAAAAAGAAAGAAACAAGAAAAGGAAGGGGACTAGAAAAACACGGAAATGCATAAAGTCCGCGAGCGGACGGATCGGCATCACATGGCAGAGAGTGACTTTCTTCGACAACCCCCCACCCTCCGTCAACTCCAACCGTCAGCCCACTTCAATGATATCGCTGTGATGGGCAATGCTCCCGATCTTCGCTACGTGCGATACGAAAAGTCGCGCGAAAATGAGTATGTCGCCGCAATGCGCCAGCTGATCTCCAAAGATCTGTCCGAACCTTACAGCATCTACGTCTACCGCTACTTCCTATACCAATGGGGCGACTTGTGTTTCCTCGCGATGGACGATAAGGATGAGATGGTCGGTGTTGTGGTATCGAAGCTAGAGCCACACCGTGACGGTCCGCTGAGAGGGTATATCGCCATGCTGGCCGTGCGCGAAGAGTATCGAGGCCGGGGAATTGCAACTAAGCTAGTGCGCATGGCTATCGATGCTATGATTGAACGGGATGCAGATGAGGTATGTCAACACAATGGAAATAGCTCTGGGTCCCCACACGGGGTGGTCTTGAGGGTATGGCGGGCTGACTTGTACGTGTTTTGGGTAGATTGTCCTCGAAACCGAAATCACCAATACCGGCGCGATGAAACTCTACGAACGGCTGGGCTTCCTTCGTAGCAAACAGCTCCATCGATATTACCTGAATGGCAATTCGGCCTATCGACTGGTGCTCTATCTCAAAGAAGGTGTGGGCGCGATTCGGACGGGACTTGTTGATCCCTATGGCCTTCCACCATCAGTACCTGGTCTACCTGACGCGTGTGGAGGACATTCTCATGCAAACATGGGGTCTTTGGTTTGATTTTTGGTTGTAAGCAGCGCTATGAAGTTTGCTCGTTGCTCTGTCAAGCTGTGCTGGCATGACATGCGATGATAATTATGGGAAATGACCAGAATAGATACACCTCACGGGAACCGGTGTCCTTGTGGAACTTATATTGTATAGAAAGATAAATTGTCTGAGAAGTATGTCCAATAACTACTCTGCTCTGGTTGAGGATATGTCATATGAAAGCAGATGCGATACCTACTTCTCTCTACATCGTATCCCGATGATGTCTCACGCGCAGACGCAAGCAAGAACTCCAGTACCGATCATAAACTAATGACTTTCAGCAAAATTTCAGGATCCTGTGGTGCTGCACGTTTCAGCTCCCCCATTCATAGAATCATAGATATGATTTACGCAGGCTGGGGCTCAGTTGAACCATCCAGTCAGCCTGGCTGGTATCTTAATAGCATCAATTGGACATAGTAGTCATCTTGGAAGTATTAGATAGACTTGGTTTTATTATTTTTGTCATCACAGAGTCGGGAAATATTAGAAGAATGGAACGCCTGAAGAATGGCAGGTAACACAGTGTATTGTATCCAACATAGCTCATTATAACCAAGACGTTATGCCCGCAATATTATTCTTAACACAAGAGATGCCATTCTTATTATCGCATTTTATTACTACTCAAGATGCACCCTCTTAGTCGTTATACACCAATCATAATTGGCATCAGCGTGTCACTATCCTTTGTGGCAACTGTCCTCATGGCCCTGCGCTTTTATACCTACTTCTTGGTGGTCCGCCATAAGAGTGGCTGGGCTCTTACTTGGGCAACTTTTGGTTGGGTGCGTTTGATTCTGAAAACTAGATATGACCTCGCTAAAAAGATCAGGCGTCAGGAGTATTGAGTACAATACTTTACTGCCTTTCTCTCTACTATCCAATTATCACTGCTTCGTGGATCATTCGAATCATTCAGGACCTTGCTGGTCTCTGGGCGTTGACATTTATGAAGATTGCTATAACGATGTATATTCTTCACCTACAGGACAGAATCTACAAAATTGGCAGATGGGTTTTACTAGTCACTATGGTTTTGAATGTGAGCTCATGACTTTTCCTGTCTCTTGATCATTTCAAACGTGGAAGTGGCTTAATGATAAGATATAGGTTCTTAGCATCATCGTGTTGATTCCACTATATTTTGTACAATGCGGCCCTTCGATGGACACATCCTTGATCCAGTATCAAAAGTGTGGGCAACAAGGGAAATTCCGGTCAATCTGGTATGGAGGTATGTATAGACCAGCTTTCTCGTTTACAGCACAACTCTAATATAGATACTATCTATAGTATGGGCAGCAGTGACAGACCTGCTGCTCCTTATATACCCAGTGATCATTATGTGGAATCGTCGGATCTGTAGAAAGCAGAAAATTCTCATCTGCATTTTGCTCAGCCTAGGTACTATCGGTACCGTCGTTAGTGTCGTTAACTTGATCATCTTTACTCGATTCAAACGTCTGTTACTGTTCCTATCTACTATGATAAGCGCTTGCATGTTTTACTGACATGATTCATAGCGCATGTCGAGATAGCTGTTATTCTCAACATCATAGAAATCTGGACAGTGTTGATCGCTTCGGCTGGCGCTCCACTATGGCCACTTTTCAAGAAATGGGATCAACAGCTAAAGAGAAAAAAAAGCAACACGGCTGTCACGATGGCCCGGGATACATTATAAGATCACATGATTTAGCATTCAACGAGAGTAAGTCCGATGAAAGGAAGAGAAAGGAGAAAAAGGGATATCCTTACGCAAATATTGTTCGACTTGCCCTGAATTGGATATCAAAAATATGTTCTGCTAGCGTATATCGTGCCGCTGCCTTGGTGCAGAGTGACTAGTATCATGACCATTCTGTGATCACCCTCTGAATCTCTTCATCGGCACGCTGTATCACAGTTTGATCCCCAGCATCTTTGATGTTAGGGTCCGCTCCTTGCTCAAGAAGATAACGAATGACATCGGTTTTGCGAAGGTACACTGCTTTGTGAAGAGAAGTCTCTCCCATGAAAAAATACATGTCCCAGGAAGGCCGATGATCTTGATACATGATACCATTGATCGGAGCGCCCCGAACAATGAGGAGCTTCAGGACCTCTACTGTATCGGAGTTGCGGGCAACTGCATGATGTAGGACCTGCCCTTTTGTGACATCACCGCCGCGATTGAGCAGAAGACAGACGACTGGTAAAGAAGCGTGTTCAACAGCGCAAGAGAGTGGCGTAAAATCAATGCTACATCGGCGGTTGGGGTCAGCGCCGTGATCAAGGAGCCATGTTGTCATCTCAAGATCATTCAGAGCATTACTATCAAACATCAGACATTACTGGGAGACAAATTTGGACAAAGGTCAGTAATTCGACTCACCTAAGAATCGGGGGATCCATTCGGCTCATCGGCTGATTGATATCCCACCCATTTTCTAAAAAGCTCCCCAAAATTTCCTTTGTATTTTCTTTTGTTTTGATAGCCTCGTGGATATATAACGGAGATAGAAGCATTTTTTGGCGGAGCAGCTCTTTCACAAAACAGGTTCTTCCCAGCTTGATTGCTTGAATCATCAATGCTGATAGGTAGGCTATATTAAAACCATGTGAGATATAGCTGCTATTCAATGTCTGTTTGAATCTTTCAAGATCGTCTTGGATACAAAGTTGTTCCAACTCCTGGAGTGCTTGGATGGCATATGGAGGGATTGGAGGTGTGATGCTAGCCCTAGGGTATGTTTTATTGGAAGTATACACAACCATAATAGATTGGACGTATTGTTATGGACTGTAAGCTATTCTGACAATTGGGAGAAGAGGGAGCTTGAGGTCAGAGCTCATGTGGTATGTATACACACCGCTTCTGAATATGTATAAGCTATGGCTAGCTTAATAAAGATAGTAACAATTGGCCGCTGATGTGGCTCTGTCATGTCTGTTTTGGACTTTTTAGATGCCTCGGATATATTTTAGATATATCTTCATTTTGATAATTCCCCCTTATTGACAAAGATAAGGATATAAGCAGTGGAAAGGAGTAAAAATGTGAGATTTTTATATGACATGTGATATAACATGTGATAACGACTGTATAAAACAAGCTAACACCAAACCATTCATACATTCCCATTTGGATCACCGAATCTACCTGTAACCACATCTTTCGACCTGTCGGATATCCCGGTTATGGGCTTTTGTCCTAGAAGCATGGATCTGATAGAAATGTGGAACCTGTGGTTGTTATATATAGCTACCTGCCGAGGTTCCCCTGGTTGTATTTCAACATTTCATAATCTAAAATATTTTCATCCTCAATGGATCCAACGACACTCAGACACATTCAAGGCCCATCTGGGATAACAAAAGCAAATAAACAAGGTCGTCGACCCGGCAAAATAGCATGCACAGCTTGTCACGCCCGCAAAAAGCGATGCGAGATCGCCCCGCCATATCACCAGTGCACGCACTGTCGCAAAGAAGGTCAATTATGCATCCCGCGAGATTCAATTGAGAGGTGTGTCAAACCAAGAGAAAAATATAGATGTTAGCAAGACTTACAAAACCGTTGGAAGACGTACCCGGCAACAAATACCCAACTACAACCACAATAGCCAGAAAGCTAGTAAGAACGACGATCATCTCCACGTCAATGGCTTTCTGCCAAAGGGGATTGACCACGAAGTACCCCGCTGGAGTGCAATGTATTCGTCATATTGTGAGATACGTCGGTTACTGCCTTCTCTCACTTCCACTTCCCCGTCCCCTTCGCCCGAGATTGAAGAGGAGACTGTACACGTGCAAACTGTACCAATTGAGAGAACGCAAAATGTGTCTTTGTCAGGGCGGGACCCTGCCAGACACCATCAGTCTGAGACTTTACATAGGGATTGTGCAGAGCCGGCTTCTATCAAGGGCATAAGCATACCTGTTTCTCGGTCTCGATCTTGGTCTCTGTCTTCGGCGCCCCCAGATGAAAGAGTTGGGTTGGAGAAGTCATCAGCTTGCGATGCTGAGATTCCGAGTGGAGACCTTGCCTCAGTGGACAAGGTGAAAGCTCCTAGTGGTGGTTCTCATTCTGCCCATGATGTTTTTATGACCGATCTCGATGCTTTGCTTAGATTTTGATGGTGTCCATATCAAAGGAGGAAGATCTTCGCTCACGATTCGATAGATGTATATATATATGTGTTTAAAAGAGATGATTCTGGAAATTACAGCTCTATGGTTCTATATTTTCAGATAATGTACAAGTATAAGATACAAGGTGACAGGGAAGTGGGAAGACTAGAGTATACCAAACAAACACCAACCAAAACAAGCCCGCCAGATGGGATATTCATGCAACACGCTAGCGTCAAAAAGGAAGAAGGATCGAAGAATGCACAATGATGCAAAAGGGAGGATTGGGAGATTATTGGTCTTTGTCTTTCTCTTGATCTCGGTCTTGGTCCTTACGGACGATGGGAACTTGAATGGCGTTTTGCATCTTCCAAGTCAGTGGCCGCGGTACACCACGCCATTCCTTGTCCAAGATGGACGCTGCATCCAGCATAATCGGGGAAGGATGCTGGGGGGCGTAGCGGGTTGCACCAAGAATGAGGTCGCGTTTGATGAGGGCATTGGCAAGGCGGATTTGGAGATCACGCTTCTCACCCCGGGGCTTCCATCCGATAAGGTAGAGAACAGGATTGTGACGGAACTCGGAGGGAATATCGTTCAGAATGGAATCTGGAAGCCTGTAGCTTTCATGGTGCACGTCGATACCGATAATGACCTTGCCGGCGTCGGAGCTCCACAAATCTTTGTCAAGTTTCGTGGATTTACTGAAAGAGGCGTTGCGACATAAGGAAGCCAAAACAGCCTGCTTCATCTTGTAGGTAACGGTTCTCTTCATGCAGGAATACCGCCATATAACCAGACAAAGGTTATACTGGCGGCGTCTAAATGCGGCCAAAAACAAATCCTCCCAATTTTGTGCAGTCACCTCGAACAAAGGGTGCTCGAAAAACCGCAGGGTATAATGCAAAGCCATGTGGATTTTCGCGCCCAGGGCTTGCACAATATGGCTGAGCGGGTAACTGTCAACGGTGAGATTGTTCTCGATGCAGATTTCCATGAGCCGGTCTATGGAATCAAAATCCTTCAATCGAGCAACCACACTGAACATCTGGCCGATCACGGAGGGGCTAAACCAATTAGCCCCCCCATGTATTGGTCATGAGGCCAATGAATGAGTCTATATCTTTCCCACTGTCTAAATGCACCAAAAGCGAATCTTGGATTGTCTCCTGGAGCGCGCTGTGGATGGTGGAAAGATTGGACATGTGACCACGCTGGACCATATGTTCAATGAGTTGGGCTTTTTCGCTGGGGACGACCAGGGCGCTGAGCAATGCAAGCCATGTTTCTGGGTTTGGACGCATGTCTAATTTAGGCATTGTCCGCAGGAAATGACGGAAAACGCCCACATCCTGACGCCGCGCAGCAGCCCGCAACAGGATGTTATATGTATCAGTGGTAGCTACATGCTCTGTGCATGAACACAAAGCTCGAGCAGTCTCAAGGAACTCATGTCGACAAAGAAATTCCAGCGCACTATTCAATGCTGCAGTCGAGATGTAATTGGAGTATGCTTCTGCCATGAATAGCGCCTCCAGGTGTAGTTTAATCCGGACCACGTGCGGAAGCTTTGACAAAGACATGGCCTTCTCATCAAGCGTTGGTTGCCTCGCAGAAGTGACATCCTCGATGTGCTCGTTGAACTCCTTCACGGTGGCGATAACCGGACGAGGCAGCAGAATCTCGTCTAGATTTGAGCTGCCATCCGACGTTTCACCGAAATGCCAATTTCCACGGATCAACGGCACAGGCAGCTTCGAGCGCTGCATCGCGCCGCGAGAAAGGCACATTGGGACCGGTGGTTTGTGGATATCAACAAGGGGATCCCCCATGGCTTGTAGGCTCTGCGCGCGGGTGAAATGCCCTTCCACCAGCGCCATAATATGGTCCGTGGCACTCAAAACGACTCGACGGAGTAATCCCTTGCTCTGACTTGCAGGTAGGATGTGCACACGACATCCATTGTGGATCGGAATGTACCAAATATTATCTTTCAACGTATGACGAGTCACACCAGAGAACAGGGCGAGGGTCTCCTCCGGTACAAGTATCTCTTTCTTGTTCAGACTCTTCTTGGGATTTTTCCGAATATCGCGGTACACTTGATCCAGAATGTCTTTAGTATCAAACCAAGCATTGTCGTAGAGCTTTGCTGAGCGAGCTTGGTATTTTTTCTTCATATATTCGCGAAACCGTAACTTCTTCCGATCTCGAATCGATGTATTTCGTAAAAAAAGTTGTTTCTGTGTGGGAGACGAAGGTTTTGCGTGCGGGGATTTGTTGTGCAGTCGACCCTTCTGTATTCTCTTTGCTCTCGTCAACGCGAAGCCACGTAGTGGTATCCGCGGAGTGGCGTGTTCGACATCTGTGAGCGCATTGATAGGTTGTCTCTGGCCTGCGGAGAGCCGGCCTCCTCCACTTTTATTCAAATCTTCGGAGCCAATTTCCTTGCCTTCATTTATCTTAAGGTGCTCTCCAGCCAATGGAGGGGCATATTGTAAGTTTGCACCGTCAGGAGCCGAAGAGGAAGACCCAGAGGAAATCCATTGGCGCGAGTGTCGAGAAAACGAGGGGTAGGGGGCGGACTGCTGCGCGGAATGGGGAACCGGAAGTATGACCTATCCTTGCTGGAACATTACTCGGTTTCAGGGAAGATATTTGTCGGCGTTGCAAAGCAGGCGCAGCCCAGCGGGGATAGAGAAACAGAAGAGGCTCATCGGGGCCAGTCGCGACAGTGTCCAAGACGGCAGACACACGCCTCCTTAGACACGGGCAGCCACGCAAGAGCATAAGGGACGATGCTCTAGTGGCACCGGAGACATGAATAAAAGGACAAGAATTGGGCGCGTTGCTGAGGTGTTTTTCGATGGACCTTTTTGCCCCGAAAATTGCTGGCCGCCGAACGGGTAGGCGGTGGCCGGAGCTTGGCTCTGCCGGATGGTCTATACTTTGCTTTCACCAGAAATGATATGTATTTCGCTTACTCCGTATACTGAGTTTTATTACATTAATAGATGTGGCCTTCACGGTCAATCTCCGCAGCCTTGGGAATGCCCCTGAATACCCGCCTCGTTGACCTCGCTCGCTCCTCCAAGACCGGTCGTTTGGACATTAATGTATCTTGCTTGGTTACCGGAGTCAAGTCTAACAATCCCGTTGCTGACTCTCCATGATCACCTTTAAAAACATCCGGACCGGTAATATGGCGCTTGCAAGATTCTGCAGCGCGAGCGAGATTATCTTTCTTGCGTTGGATTGCATCGGCGTCCTTATCAGAATCACTGGGAGTTTGAGACAGCTCACGAATGACACCGTAAAGATATGTTACAAATTGCCAGCGGGAGGTCTGGAATAGGAACATGGGCATTATATCTGGTATCTGATGCTCGAAAATGTAGAGTTAGCCTGGTCTCAACATACAGAGTAGGAAAGATAGTCTAGCTCACCTTGTCATTCAGATAATAGAGCTCGTCGCCCCCGTCCTCGATAAACTTCTTCAGTGCATCAATCTTCTCTCGATCAATGGAAGCCAATTTCAAAGCATGCATCAAGCTGGGTATATCCCCAATTTCGTCGACATATGGCTCCTCATCAACCGTCATACTCGCACGATTCAACCCGGATTCCACCCGGGACAGTCCGGCAGTGCTCTGGTCCCGACTTCTGACCTTGGACGAATGAATAGTAAAATAGTCCTCAGTAAGCATATGCGCTTTCTCAAAGTCCGAGCGACCAAGGGTCCGCCGTTGATGAGCTTTAGTCCGTAGTCTCACCCACCGTCTCCTCCGAACAAATGAATGAAACCACGGTTGTGTACCATGCCACGAAGATGAGGAAAACGAAAAAGAATACTGCCAGCCTTGCTCATCGGTATCACCAGACATATCAGCATACCATGTCTTCCACGCCCATTCCCAGCTCGGATCAGGCAGCTGGGCATTCGTGATATTAACAGGACTGGCTCTGCGGTCCTGGGTCATCCAGGCGCTGGGATCAAAGTTCAACAGCGAGCTTTGCGAGTAGCGTGGAACGCCAAAAAGAACCAGCCCCGCTGGTTCTCGTAGAGAACGTCCATTTCCGAGTACGATTTGGTCTCCTCGCGGCCGTTGGTCTGGTCTCCTACTCCGTTCAGCTGGGCGCTGCCATTGCTGTTATGAGTTGACACTCGAGAAGGCGCAAGCTGTGCTGTTTCGACGTCTCTACCCCTGCTGCCTTCTCCAGCGGAGCTTGCGGAGATTGACTCTCCGCGCACCTGGGACGATTCTCGACTGAGCGAGTCGTTTGTGTCGGGTGCGATACCCAGTCTTTGGGGTTGCCATTTTGCGTATTTCCGTTTTGCGAGCTGGCTATGGACGGATGCACGACTCAAGTGCTTCGTCAAACTTCCTTGTTGACTGAGGGTGGATGTGCGTGGTTGGAGTGCTTCACCGGTGGGTTGCTGTGGGACGGTATTATCCACGAGGGAGATGGAAGGCGAGTTCTCCATGGTGTGTGTGAGGGTATAGAAAGGGATGTACTAGATAGTGTTACCGCATCCCAATAGCTCATCACAGGATATGCTGCACTCGCATTATTTTAGGGGGTATCAGAAAGGAGGGATATAGGATGATTGATGGAGTTGGAGTCTTGTAGTTATTTTGACAAAAGAAAGAAGAGTAATGGACAAGACAAGAAGCAAAGGAGAGTGCAAAACACAAAAACACCAAAAGCAAGTCGATGCAACATCGATGACATCGTTTGCGGGGATGATCTGGGAACGCCAAGGCCCATCTCCTGCAACAAATCGCGGGAACAAAAAAAACATCAACAACCACAATCATGGCAGCACCACACTACCGAAAAGTCGAGCTCCAGTCCCCAGCAGACTTCACCTACCTCTATGCCAACACAGTCGCATTATCACGCCGAAAACTCGACCTCTACTTCCCCCTTCCGCAACAGACAATGACACGCCCGATCCGATGCGCGAACGCGTCCGGGAGCTAATCGACGAAGTAAGATCAGAATAACCACCTACACACCACCTACAGACCCTAATCTCAACATAGTACATAAACCAAACCTTCGAATCAGCCTCAACCTCAATCAGCATCAACGGCTTAGACTCCACTTCACCACAATTCCCATTCCCGGCAGCTTTCACCGCGCCAACAGAACAAGTCGAGTACGAGGCATTCGATACGGATCTTGCGTCGCGTGTGACGTCGCTATATGCGCAGCTGGAATCGCTCAATACGACTGTTGCACAGCAGAGACGGGATGCGCCGAAACGTGCGGCGAAGGAATATGCCGCGCAGTTGAAGAAGATGATTGAGGAGGAGGAAGAGGAGTATGATCATGAGATGGGGAGAGAAAAAGATGTCGATAACGATACCGAGATGGGCAAATCTGCGAGTGTGCAGCAGCCCCAATCGAATAATGAGACTGAGAACACTACGCCCGGCCATGAGGCGGATGTTATGGATGTGGATTCTACGAATGGAGCTGGATCGGCGCATTCGCGGCGCGCCCCTGGAAATTACGATCCTGCGTGGACGTTGAATGTTGCACTTGGGACGGAGGAGGAGCAGGAACGGTGGAAGAGTGGGGATTTCGCGGGTGTCTATGAGGATGCTTTGCGGATGCTGCTGCGTTTGCAGGGCGAGGGCAATGTGAATACCGAGGCTGGTGCGGAGGGTCATGCGTTAGCAACTACAGTGGGCAAGGCCGAGAGGGCTGGGCGTGCTGCTGAAGTGGTGGAGAGTATGACCAAGTGAGGGCTTTGAGTACTATGGGAATTAGTGACCAGCGTTTTCTGTATGTTTTTTATTTCTGTTTTGGGGTGCTTCTGCAATCTTGGGGGCGTTTCGGGGCCCAGGGCTTGTTCTCGGGATCATGATACCATGTCTTGTTTATTCTTGATGGCTCTGTTGAGTCGAAATCTTATGTTTCATTCCTTCGGACTGGAAACTCGTCTGCTATCTCTATAGCAAAGGCAGATATTGTTGCTTATTACTCTTGCCACTTCTACTGCTACTACGTTGCAATAAGCGAAACAAAGGCCCAACTTGTGTCCTAGACATACCATCTGCTATTTCAATATGTGATCATTCGTGTATACCCACTACCAACAAAGAACAACCAGCTAAACACCATCTTCACACCAACTCGCTTTTAAATTTCATCACGTCCTGTCCCTTCTATACTGAGAGCAGTGGCAGCACACGCTGCTTATCTTGATAGGCAAAAGCAAAAACAGAAGCAAGCTCTCCGTGATATCTAGATCAGAACAAAAAGAAGGCAAAAACGCAAACAGCGAATTTAGAGAAAGGAGTCCACATGCTGTGGGGATCGGCGAATAGGTGTTGAAACTACCAGAGAGAGTTTCCAGTATGTCTGGGGAGAGTGGGTTGTGTTGAGGAATTGTCGGAACCCCCAGGTAATATTTTTTGAGGTTTTCAAGTTGATCGGGGTTGGAAAATGAACATCCCTATCTGAAGTTAAGTTCTCAGTCGCCATATAAAAGGAGATTGTCAGCTTGTTGGAGCTCCAAACAAGCCAAGAAAAAGCCCTCAGCAAGCTTAAGCGCTAGTCTGAACACCCTCCTGACCCTCGGCGTCCTTCTTCTCATATCCAGGGTCCTCATTCTGAACCACAGGCTCAGCAGTCTCCTTAGGGGCCTCCTCCTTGGGAGTGGCCCATTTAGGGGGGCGGGCCCACTCAGCCTCCTTCCAGGGGCCCATATCGGAGAGCTCACAGCCACCGGCGCACTTGCAAGAGCCGCCGAACTCAACGGGCAAGTTCTCAGCGGGGACCTGGGAAAGAAGCTCCTTCTGGTATCCGCTACTGAGGACGTGGATCTTGCTAACGGTAACGGGGTCAAGGAAACCCTTGACGGCGCTGAAGACGCTGCTGAATCCCCAGGGCGCGTTGATCAGGTAAAGCTTGCCCAGACGCTCGGGGTAGTAATTCTGGGAGATGTCGGAGGCCTGCTTGACGTATCCGTAGACGGACGGCACACTGGTGATGCCCACGCCCTTCAGATCCATGATGCTGCAGCAGGTCTCGAGCAGCTTGCCGGCCTTACGAGAGCAAGCAGGCAGACGTGGGTCGGTCAGCTTCTCGTACTCGGTCACCAGGTTCTGCAGCATGCGGTCGGCGGTGGTGATCTTGTACATCTGTGTCAGGTCGATCTTGCCGAGCTTCTCGATGTAGACGGGGCGGCCATCCTGTTTGTTTTTGGACTATGTCAGTATTGCATCCGCAGAGAGGTGAGGAAGCCACGGAAAACCAACCTTGTCCGTCTTGTGGTAGTACTGAGGGTAGAATTTAGAGACCTCCTCCTTCTCGGGGTACTCGAAGTTGCGAGCCAGATCATCGGTGCCAAATTCCTTGCGCCACTTCTCGCTGGCAATGAACCTGAAATTTCAAATTAGATTGACAGGTCTCGATAAGAACCGGAAGCCACAGGCTTGGGATAGAAAGCTTTCTGGCAACTTTCCACAAAAAAAAAGGCATCTATGCCCTCCGGCGGGAATGGAGGAACGTACATAGTCTTGGCGGCCTCAACATCAAACTTGCGGGCACGCAGGAATCGCAGGAGGGTCAGCGTATCCAAACGCTCAGTGTAGCCGAGCTTTTCGAGCTCAGCGCGGAGCTGGTGCACCTTTGCATCCTGTTCGGGGGAGGTGTGGCCGGGGTGGCCAGGCTGCGCTTCGGGAGCGGTGGTGGGGAAGTCGTACTGGTCGTACTTGGGATCGGTAGGCAGCTGGGATTCTGTGGCCGCCATTTTGATTGCTTGGGGGTATATGATCGAGGGAGAAAAGGAGAGTGTTTGTTCTGGAAAAAGGGCGGGAGGCGGAGGGGGGTGGGGATTGGCGTAAGTGGCCACTTTTGAAGAACAAAAAAAAGGGCTTGGGGATTCCACAGTGGTTTGGAACTATTGAACAATAATAATAACAATGGAACTACTCAGATGGCTTTTTGCTCGAGATTTACAGGGGAAGGACTATCCTCATTTTGAAAATTGACTGGTCTGGTGAGTTATTGGGTTGTCATTTGGGTCCAAAGGATATGTTTTGGTATACGGAGTATAACATGTATACATCTAGCTATGAATATAGGGCTTCCTGTCTGAGTTCTCGACTCCGAATCTGACTTTGATTTTCATATCTTGTCCTCATAGACATCAAGGAGAAGATTTCACTTGAGAAAAGGGGCGAGGGGCAAACGTGGCGGTGTCGAGGTGTCAGTGATCAATCCACTCTGGTGGGCACCAGCATTCCCATGGGCATATTTGGCCGAAGGCAACCATATATCAAAGCTCAAATTGCTAGACACTCTGCATATAAATTCACATAACATACGGGTATTCAATTCAAAACAGTTCAACTTTCTGCATCGCAAACAGACATTATTATACACAGCGCATGAGGACCGGAGAGGCCTGGGCGGTAATAAAAAGACGCAGAAAGACATGCCGGGGGATTATAGGACTCGGAGCCCCAATGAAACCGGGGGATAAACAAATGGCAACAACTTTGCGCTGGGTATAGACATGGAAAGGATGAGGAGAGACATGGGAAAAAGGCAAGGCATGATACGAAAGGGGAACGAACACAAAAGGATATACCAAAAATCACAGGATCATCGGCATCCCCCGTACCAGCGGGGAGAGGGCCTTGATAATTCTCCATTAAGGGTTATGTTCGTGTTTCAGCAACATTCACAAAGGGCATTCGCCCGAACTCCATGGACGGGGAGATTGCAGTCATGAGCAGTCAACCAATCCAATATTTGGGAGCGATTGGGGGAGGAGGGCGGCGCGATGGAAAAGCATGATATATGGGCGTCCATCATCATCGCAAGATTAAGTGCCTAGGGCACGGTCGATCGTCGGGTAGAAAAGAGGACCTGGCCGGACAGAGGAAATGGGGGAGCTGTTCGACCTCTGCTCGAGCTCATCATTCATCAAAAGGTGGCAGGACTCTCTGAGAAGCCTGGGGCGTATAGCGCCTTTACCACCCCTTCTTTCGTGCAAATCGTTTGTTCAGGAGCGTAAGCACCTTGGTGACGTTGAACTGGACATACTCCAGATCAAGGTCTTCAAGGTTGTCCTTTTGCATCTCCAGGAGATCATCCAGCTTGAGATCAAGCTCCAATAACCCACGGGCTCGTCCTAAATGATGCGTTAGTAATGATTTGATTCTTCCCTCCCAAAGGTCAAGCCCATAAACTCACCTTTATAGTGCAGACTGATGACAAAGGTGCCTGGCAACGGACTCTTGAACATGAAGTAGATGTTCGCCCGTCGATTTTCTGGCACATTGCTGCGTCGGATGACACCTTCCTTCTCCAGCTGCTGATGGGTAAACTTGTACGGGCCAAGTTCCTGGTTCTTTGGCGTCTTGCCGCCGCGGGTTTTGCCTTCAGACTGGCTACGCACGTTGTGGAGGTAAGACTTGTATGTCTCCAGCTGGCCAACCAGATAAGCATTGTGGTCGCGAATCGTCGCAAAAACTTCCTCGAGTTTCCGGGTCTCTTCTAGGACTTTCTCCTTGAGTGAGCCCAGGTGCACCAACTCCTGCTCCACTTCGTCACGAAGCAAACTGAACTCGTCAGAGCGGTCAATCACACCCATGTCTTGTAGCTGGCTGAGGAGTTCCATGGTTCGGATGCCCTTGCGCACCATCACGGCATCGTTTTTCAAGGTTGCTGCAGCCTCGGCAATGCGGTCGAGGCGTAATGGTCGGCGCGCGACTGAGGTGTTCTGAGGCAGGGATCGCAGGATCTGGACAAAGGTTGACTTGGCCTCCATGAAGAATACTTCTTCCTGGGTGATATCGAGAGCGGCTGTCAAGTCATCGAGAGCAGTCTCCCATTTACTGAACAGAGGCACGGTGATGGTTCGGTTCTCCTTGCGGGGGACCTGAGGGGGGGCACCGCCCAACTCTTGGAGTAGCACAGACAGGTGCGAATATTGGTCTTGGGCGAGCGCTCCCGTGTGTTTCTCAAGAAGACCGTGCATGACGTACATTTCATTGAGAGTGATCTGTAGTTCAAGGTCCCGTTTCGACAAGGCCACATAGTTGTCCATTTCCAGACTTTCATAGAAATCCTGAACTTCACACAGATCAAGCAGGAACTTGTTGACACGTTCTTTGTTCTGCTGAATGAAGGGCTGGAGGCTAGCCATGTAGGGCTCCTTGGCGTAGGAAGGCTTGTTGGCCAGGTTCTGAATCATCTTGGCGATCAGCGTCAGGGTACGGCGAGGCTTGTCCGTGGGCGTGGCATCGATCAGCATGTAGGAGCGAGGAGTAACAATGGCCGGGTTGATGAAGCGTAGGAAGAAGAAACCACCAATGAGAGTACAGATGGTTTGATCCTGAGCATCGGGGTACTTTCTGCGCGACAGACTGCGAATCTGCTTACAGATCCATCTAATACCATAGGGGGCCTCGTCTACCGATTCAATGATGGTTGTGATGAAACCGTTTGCAATATCCGTCAACATCTTCAAACGTGGCGTAATGATGGCTTGCACCTGCGCATTATCGGCAGCATCTTCAGCAGTCACCGATCGTGCCAAGTAATCCGGGAGGGAGCCAGTTTCTTCTTCGATTTGCTTGATCATGCTTTCATAAACCTTCAAGGGGTTGATCTCGAGATCCACTTCCCGCAACTCAATCAGAGCGTTGATCTGATCTGCCAGCACCTGCTTTAAATAACTTTGACCAGGACCACGGCGCGTGTATGTGGTCATCATGCGCGAAACTGGGGTGTTTTGCCGTAACAAGGACGAGTACTCTGGTGTGTTATCAAACTGATAGGTGAGAACGGACTGGAACATAGTAAGCAGGAGATGCTCTTCGCGACTCTCGTACTGGTTTCCGTAGATGGTGAACATGACGGTCTGGAGGAGGGAATCGATCTCGGCCATGGAAACTAGTCGGCAGAGGTGGGCGATGTGACGGGGTTCGGATTGCAGGAGGAAAAGTAGATTGCCGTACTTCTGGGTTCGTTCATCGTTGGGGAAGAACCCTTCCTGCGGGTCTGCGGTATCGTCGAGATGGCTGGCGACTTCGTTTTGCTAGAAAGATGAGAGATCAGTCACTGCGTGTCGATGTTCGATAGAAATTCTTACTTCTTCCAAGGCCATTCGATTCTGGATAAGCAATGCGATCCGCGAGTCCAAGTATCGCACATCTTTCTCCAATACGAAGTTCTTTTTCGATTGTGATGAGATCCTCGACTTCAGATCTCGTAGGTGCTTTTGTGCTGTCGGGGGATTAACGCGGGTCCCTTAGGCGCCAGAATGAAACGTACCTCGTGCCAGGTCATCCGAAATCTCCAAGTCTCGATCCTTGGCGGACATGGAAAGATACAAAGCTGTGACCGACATCCGCTTGGATTGACGGAGCGACCGAGTATCGTGCGACGACATTGTGTTCTGTCGTGCTACGGGCTGAAACGAGGAGGAAGAGGAGGAGGATGCCCGCGACTGTCTCGCAGGTTGGAGCATCGTCGCAACAGACATTGTGGGATAGAACGAAAGCAAAGAGACAAAAAAAAAAAAGGTTGAACCCGTACCGAGGGGTTTCGAGACCGTAACGGATCAGGGGAAGAAAACAAATCAGAGGGGGAAAGGTTCCAAGGTTAAAAGAGTAAGGGTTAAAATGTCAAATAATATTTTTTTTTTGGTAATTTCATCTGGGGAAGTATGTAATTGGTATGGTATTTTTGATTGGGATATTAAACATCCTATTTATTACCTACCTAAAATCATCTAGGAATACGTATGTGGTAGTTATGCAAGGGTTTCTCTTTTACCCCTGGCCCAATGCACTTCGCCACCCTTCCATTTTCTATGGGGAATGGAGTTTAGACATCTCCATACATTTTACAAGTTCATACTTGACGTCAGATCTATCTTGAAAAGCAAAAAAAAAAAAAAAAAAAGAGAAAGAAAATACCAAAAACTATTGACAACCTACAACATATATAAAACCACAATCAGAACCATACAGGAAGGTGACACGGGTTTCATGTCTGCAGGGGCTAATCGGTACCTGCGTTGATGTAAAAAAAAAAGAGGACTTGGACTATTCAGGCTAAGCCCACGAGACCTCCATGTGGATGTCTCGGGAATGTTCTACTCTCTATGTTGTAGATGAATCGGAAGAATATGTATATGAAGGTGGATATAACCTTCCAACTACTCTTCGGGTTGAATTCAGATCTGGGTACCACGTTAATCAAAAGGTGATTTCCACTCTCGGGGTTTGCCTTATCAATTAATTACAACATACGCGCCTAATCTTTGACTGGATTGAGTACTCCGGAGTACTTCTGCCTTTCAAGTCATACCACCTATCGAAGTCTATTTGTCTTAGACCTCGGTACTCTTTTTCTTATACATATCAACTTTTTCTTTTTCCTATTGAATTGGGAATACCAACCTGGATCCAACTGTTCTCCGTACTTTCATGTACCATGTATATCCCCTAATAATTAATATCCAGATAATATATGATTAATATCAAAAGCTATGGAATCAAACTATGCGGGGGTGCAACCCACCTTGTGGTTTTTTTTTTTTCTTTTTCTTTTTTCCCCTAAGAAATTGGTCTATGCTTTTTTTTTTTGGCTCAGGGGCAGAGAGAGTGGAGTCGGTGGGTTCTACGGAGTACTTTCCCATATATATTGTACCGTATTTTTAGTCTAAGTACTCCGTAGTATACAACATAAAACAATCGCAAAACGTAGATATCATGGCAGCATGGCTTCATGACTATCGCAATATCATTTCCATCCGGCCGATCATTCACACGGGCCAATATGTATCCCATCCCGTCATATATGAAACACGCCAAAGCTCTGTAGATCACTTACCAACCCCTGTGTATCACTTCCATGGTTACTTGCATACAAAATTCGAGTGTAATCTATAAGTACTACACATCCATGTCCGGTTGGAATCATCCGGGATTCCGCTAATTCGCGCTCGGATAGGAATCCTTTGACATCCATGTTCATCAGCTGCTTTCATTGTGATCTAGTAGGGATCGGCAATGGGTGTATGCATGTTCTTTCAATGGTGTATGCACTACATATATATATATATCTACACAACATAGATACTCGGTATGGGGTACAGACGGAGTACCACGTACTGGGTTCCTGGATCATTCCTCTGTTGGCATACATAATTATTTCAATGCACACTCATCTTCCAAGATTACTCTCCGAACTTATTACTATGCTTCTTTGGGCCCCTGTTGAAGAAGATCCCATCAAACTGTACAAAGTACTAATGTTCCCGTCTATCCGTTGAACTTTGTGTTTACTCTTTTCTTGTTATACCCTTTTTGTATAGCGGGGAGTGGTCAATGCAGAGGGGGGTTAGATCACAAGCACTAAACCCCAATAGTGACGGATCGACCTCAACATCCTTGACCATTCATTCCATGCGTATTAACTATATCAAGACCTGCGATTTTGAGCCAACTCATGAGCTCAACTGAAACATTGTCTCATTTCCGGCTGTCACGTCTTGGACCTCAATCAGATCGAAGAACATACTTGATTTTGATCGAGCGCAAAGAACTGAAAAAAAAAAAAAAAAAAAAAAAAAAAAAACGAAAGAAATTCATAATTCCAACCTTTAGTGAATTTACACATTTGATGTTACTGTCGAGAAGAACCTGATATTCTATACATGTACATACAAGAAGTAGAATCCCAGAGCCTCCAACTGACGCACGGGTATCGCTAATGCTAACTAAACAAGAAACCCAACCAAAACCCCATTCGTAAATGCTTTTGTGACTCCGGACCAGCCGTCTATTGGCGGAATGTAAGAGACTTGCCGGGGGTTTCCCGCTTGGTCTTCCGCGCGCCTGATGGGGCTTCCATCGCTTTGGTGTACGGGTTGAAAGCCTTTTTGCGAGGGTGGGTGACTGTGGCAGCAGACGGTGCGTTGAGAACCGCTTCGGCAGTGCCATAGTCAAAGGGAGCCTCGCCCTCGGCCTTCGCTTTCTTGGCTTTCTTCTCCTTACGAGACTTTTTGCTCTTCTTCTGCGTGGAGTCGGGCTCGTTGCTCGTGTCGTCGAGGTCGGCTGGGATGGCCAGGGCTTGCTCGGGGTTGTTAACCGGGGTGACCTTTCGTTTACGGGGAGCGCCGAGGTCTTTGACGGTGAAGTACTTCTTCTCCTCTGGCTCCTGGGGAGCTGGAGCAGGCGTAGGCTCGGGAGCAGGAGCGGGTTGTTTTGCGGTGCCGAGGTGGTCACGGGTTTCAGAGATGGTCGTCGGCATGGGTGGCAGAGGAAGAGAAAGGCGTAGAGCTTCAGCACCGGCAGCAAGCGCATATGCCGGAGGAGGGGGTGATTCCCTGGCTTCCAAGACGTTGCCCCAGAATTGAGACGTTTCATAGCGTTCAGCAATGGGGAAATCGATGGCTTCCGGGGCGGCAGCCTCTAGAACCTTGGCCATGTGTTTTGGGGGCGCAACGTCGCGCCATTCTGGCCCATCAATACCGGCAACCTTGGCTTGCTTGATAACCTCCAAAAGATCATGTGACCGTTCCTTCGTAATGGGCGTCATGGGTGATAGGGTTCGGAATAGAGATCCCATATCAAGCGGCATCATTATGGCAAGCTTGAATAGCATATGCTTGGGGAAAACACACTGCCAGCCCTCGTCCTCGGCGCGCGCTACTTCATCGCGCCATTGGTGAACAGCTTTGAAAACGGCGAATTGTTCCTTGGAAAGGTTACCCGAATTGCGCCACAACAGATCGTACCAGCCTCCAGGGCCGTGTCCATTGACGGCATCGTAAACAGGGCGTTCATAGCGCTGCAGGGCTTCAAGCTTAGATCGCTCATTGACGTAATCAATCTGGCTAGCCTCTTCGGTTGAGTTGTCGATCAAGTCGTTTCGTAGGCGGTCATAGATGTAAAGAAGATAATGCGTATCTGATCGTGCATAGTCGAACATAGCCGGTGGAAGTGGGCGAGCGCGCCAATCAGCCGTCTGGTACCGCTTATCAGCTTCGAAATTGACGAACTTGCTCAGCAGGAACTTCAAGCTTCGCTTCGGGAAGCCCAATGCAGATGCAGCGTGGAAAGTATCGAACATGCCAACCACATAAAGACCCAAGTCACGTTGCAGCCAGATGATATCCATGGTGGAACCGTGCAGGACCTTCAAGATCTTTGGGTCCGCGAAAACCTCGTTCAGCATCTGCAAATCTTCCCTCCAAGGTTGCAAGGTATCCACAACCCAATCCTTATCCCGGGTGCTGATTTGCATCAAAGATACAAGACCGTGGTAGGAGTGGACGTCGTGGTGCTCTAAATCGATAGCGATTTCCTTCGCTTTCTTGAGCTCATTGAGCATTTCCTTGACTCCATCCAAAGTATCGACGAAAGTAGCCGTGGTACTTTCAAAAGGCAAATACTCAATCGGAGGGGAGACCTGGTAGACCGACTTCGGATACTCTGAAGCAAGAATCTCCGCCTCGTAGGGGTGGGGGTAACCAGTTCTATCTTCGATCTTCTTCGTCTTCAAGCACTTCTCCAACGGGACAATGGCATGGGGCTTAGACTTCAGAAGAGGCTTGAAGGGGCCCATGTCAGTGTTATCCGGTTTTCGGTTGAATAGCAATTGCGGCTTGGGAATCTTGGAAGGGCCATAGTCGTAAACAGTAGGGAAGTTGGGAGCTCTCTTGATCGGTGCCTGTTCTTCCTGCGACGGGCTGAGCTTCTTAATCACGCCTGTGAATTCATCCAAGCATGCATCAGCCTTTTCCAAAAGCGAATCAATCACATCCACCACACCACGCCAATTGTCCTCGACGGAATCCTCATCGTGAAGGGTAGGCCCTGTTACATCGGTGCCGGCGGTGGCAGCTTTGATAACGGCGGAGGTCAGTGCAATGATGCGCGCGCTCTGTTCATCTAGTGATTCAGAAAAATCTGCGCTGGAGGTGCGATGGAAGTTGAGGTCTTCCGACGAGAGCTGTCCGACGGTTCGAGTTACCTGCACCAGAGCGGAGGTTAACTTGTCCTGGAACGGGGAAAATTCTGCAGAGTCCATGATGACTAGCAGCGCTCCAGTTCACTTGATCTAGCGAAAGGAAGAATGACGGGATGAAACGCGGAACGGCAGTGACATGAAGATCCAAGGTCCCGAAAAAAAAGTCGCGGCGAGAAAATGACAATGGAGAAATGGTAGGCCCGCCCTGACCGCCTTCCCAGAGTGGCGAGATTTGTATGAACTTCCGCCGATCTTCCAAGTCGTCACCGCATTCTTTCCTCGTATTCCTCTAGATCACTCAAATTTCAACTAACGAAGGAGCGTGCAAGGTCTGCGGCATATTTTTTTTGATAAATTATCTCTTATCACATCCAGAATGGCAGCTTCTATCGCCCCCGAATGTAATGATATCAAAGAGTGAGTTATAGTGAACATACCCAGTTTTTACATCTTATTCAAAAGCTAATATATTACCAGGAAATATGACACTTGCTTTCTCAAGTGGTATAGCGAGAGTATGCACCTATGCCCCTCAGTCATACGGTTGAATAGCAGCAGCTAATTCCACAACAGAATACCTGCGCGGCAACACTACATCCAATGATTGTGAAGCATTGTTTAAGAACTACAAGGGGTGCTTGAATGTGAGTCCTGCCTTGTGTTATATCCTCTATATATTTCTATACATTTTGAGTGGTTCAATTTGTCTGACAAGGTATTGTAATATTTGCAGAAAGTTCTCAAGGAACGAGGCATAGACGCTATGGTGGAAGATGCCCGAAAGAGCGGCAGCAGTGAAACAGATGCTGAATTCCTCAAGAAATCTTGAAGCCAGACGCCGAGCTCTGAAACTGTGAATCGCTCTTCCTCGTGGAGAATTGTACCATCAACCTGTGTCTGGCTTCATCTGTTATTTCCAGCGATAATATGCATTTTCCATGTACAACATAATAAACGGCGGACCTGTGGATTACTACATCCGGTTAGTTTTGCCTCTTTGGGCTTAGTGCCCCAATACGCTATCACCTAACCTACAATGCCGCCGACATAAAAGACCCCGTCTTTGCTGCTCATCCTCCCTTTCTCTCACTCTTTCATTCTTCCTACCTCTCTATCTCTCGCTCATCGCCGCCCCCTATATTTTACTCTGGCCCTCACCGACTACTGCACATTTACTTTCAGCCCGACGCACTGTCTCTTTCATTAGATATACCAATGATCAGCTCCGTCATACAGAAGACAACTATCTCTTCAAGTATACCATGTGATATACCTTCTTTTTCCTGAATCTATTCATGTTGTATACGTATCACAACGTTTTGTCGAACAATTCCATCACAGCAGTAGTTCAGCCAGAAATAGGGTGTCTCACCACAACAGCGGAATCTGATACTTCCCCCAATTTTCAAGCAAATCAGCATCCTTTAACTTCTCAATCCCACTGTATTGATGATGCTCCCATGGAAAGAACTGGAAAAATGCCTACATCCTACTTGATTCTGACAGAACAATATCAAGAGTATTATTTTAGGATAAAAACATTATCAGCATTATTTACAAGAGGTGTTGGTTGCTGGATTGGTATTAGCGATGACCCCGTCTTCGAAGATCACCCTGACCAAAGTTCGCCGGGACCCTAGGCACTGGATTACTTAGTGATCCAATACCTCCACCTATAGACCCAGAGCCACTGCTTCCACCACTGCCTTTCTTGGGCTGGGTGAGCAATGTCCACACCTCTGCCATACCGGCCCGACGGGCAGGTAGCATGCTGTACTGCATGCTATAGAGGTTGCGGCGGTGGATAGGTGGCACGAAACGACCGGTCATAAGGCAGAAGATGACACGAGGCGCGAGGTAGTGTTTCCGGAGCCGGTGGCCCAGCTGGAAGTACTGGTCGAACATTGCACGCAGGGAGAGGGGAATAGACTATAATCTATGTCAGCTTTTTTAGGGCAATGTTTTGGAGAACTACGAAGACATACCTCGAGATGGATGTAAGAAACAAGCGCAGAAGAGTCCCTTTCCGTTGGGTTCTTGTTTGGCTCACTCCGAAGCTCGAATCGGATGCCTCCTGGGAGCCGTCGTGAGTCTTTCACGCGGAGCATCAATGCGAAGAGCGGAAAATGATTCAAGAAAGCGAGGCAGGTGTCAAGCGCTGCCTTCATTGAAATAATTAACATGCGGGCCGAGGCAAAAGTTAGGTAAAACACCACAACCGTAGGCAGTAGGAAGAATAGGACTGTGAAGAGGATAGTGCCAAGGAGGAGTTGGTCGAGGTCATAATCACATGAATCGATTCGGTTGCGGAGAACGTTGCGTTTCTTTCCACGGAAAAGATGGAAAAGGGAAATGATAATGGTGAGTTGCCAGTTGAAAATACGAGCGGAGGCAATGTAGAAGGAGTAAATGTGTACCGTCAGAATCGAAAGAAGGTCAGAAAAGAGAGCGATCGGCATGCTTGCTCCCGCAAAACTTGAACATCCAACAATGTAGATGACAGCAGGAAGGTAAGGTTGAAGATTGGCAATACAAGCGGCCCAGTTTTCAATGACCCATAGGAACAAGTCACCGAGGAAAGCAGCAAGCTCATTGTTGAGTTTCAAACCCGCTGGCCAATCCATTAGCCATGAGATAGTGCGCTGTAGTCCCTCGACTGTCCAGCCAGTCAAAACAGTGTTGATTTGAGAAGCGACCCAGTTTGCATTATCAATGATATAGGACCCCAGGGCAATGCCAATGATCACGTCATTGGCGACAAGCCAGAGACTGTTATAGAACCGAATGTAGTCTGGATGACTGGTCGTGACACTCTCCCAGTTGTCCTTTCTTTGCCGAAGCTTGACATATTGAATCGGCCAGTAGCAGAATTGCTGCAGCCTGATATCAAATTGCTGGGCCGTTGCTGAGATATCCTTGAGGGCAGCAGCATCAGGCCGAGCACGCCACTCGAGAACCCGCAAGACAATTTCCGCAACAGACCGGTGGCATACAAGCCCGACGACAAAAATGCGGGTAACAACAGGCCAAATCCATTGCCAGAAAACGTGAGCAATGCAGAGGACAATGAGCCCCCATAATGTTGTCGCCGATTCCACAACACGTTCTCCAACGCTCATACTTCTCTTCGCACGAATTCCAATCAAATGACTGTTTTTGTGCATGAGCTGCCCCATCTCGTAGGCGCAATTAACTTGGTTGATAATGAGTGAAAGGGCTTGCTCCTTCTGTGATGGGATGTGCTTGACGACCGTGTGAAACTTGAGCTTCTCAACCAACAGCTTAACCCCAGCCTTGTCTTCCTCCTCGGATTCGATCTTGTCTGGCGATGGGCCCCATATCTCCGTCTTTGTCGCTTTATCACCCAAAGCCAGGGAAATCGGGTCGAGCGACATATATTCCATGCGTGTTGGGTGCGGGCGGTGATACATGATAACCTGGACAGACAGATTTGCCTCTGGTGGGCAAAATATGTGAGGGGCTTTCAGAGATGAAGTTGTAGTCACATCAAGGTGGGAAGGGTTGAAAGATGTCGGAGGCTCCTGAGAGTTGGTCGAACCGAGGACATGCATCTGAGAGCGTCCACATAGAGTGAAGATGCGCACAACTGGGTGAGGGCTGTTTCGAAAGAGAATTCCCGCCCGAAGCGCATTATCGACATTTCGAGGCTATTTAATCACAAGGCTAATCAGCTTGATCGAACGAGTAGAAAAGGCAGTTGCAACCACGTACCTCGACATCTTCCAGCACCGTGAGCACAAACAAATCAAGCTCCGAGTTCCGCCACCCGACGATCACACCCGGTGACGAGGATCGTGGGAGATCATATGGCCAGAATACGCGCAACAGTCCATCGCTCATGAGCATATTGTCATCCTCCACCTGAGTCTCAGAACGAACCTCGACGACGCAACTGTTCGCGCGCAGAGACGCCGAGATTCACGTGGCGTGGATGCTACATGTCCCGTCAGCAAATAATTCTAAGCCAACACCAAGCGCTTCATCTTTCAACCGCTGCCCAAAGCTTTGGCTGTTCCAATGTTGCTCACCAATTGGCCCTCCTTAGCAGCGAGATGATGGATCGGCAGGACGAGAAGGAAAAAGAAGACGGAGAGAAACAAAAATCCTTTCGCAGTTCGTGTCTAAATAAGAACAATTAGCAACGTTGGGTAGGCTAATGTGTGCTGGCACGAAGCTGATAAAGTCGCAAGCGGAGGGGGGCTGAGGACCGATGACCGAGGGCCGGAGGAAGACATACCACGACACCGTGATCCCAGGCAAAGATTGCCAATTCGTATAGACGGGTAACAAGATCCCACCTGGCGGTAATATAGCCCGCGACAAAGATTCCAAGGGTGAGGACAGAAAAGGGGTGCATGAATCGAGGTAGTTCAGGCCGTCCGCGTTTGGTTTGCGCGCATAGCTAGATGAGGCGGTTGAAGGTGATTTAGAGGCACAGCGATAGCACAGGCCCAGAATTGAAAATTTTCTGTAAAGTTAAGCCGCGAAAGAACGAATCGAAGACAATAAAAAGAACGATCGCTTGGATTCTGGAATAAAGTTGCTTCATCCCAATCCCGCGTTGATCGTCTAGACCGACCTACACGTGACTGGCCTCCGCATTAGGATGCGCGAAGTTTCACGACAACCAGTTGGTTACATTATAGGATAACTGAAGGTATAAGGAGAACCTAAAAGAGTTGATAGTAGAAAATACCCTAGTTCATCAGAAAATGTAAAAGACGAATATACAGCAATGCCTTTCTCAACCCCATGCCTTCCATGAACGCCAAATCCCATGAATAGCTCACATTTTATAGAGCCTTGATACCCTGGAACACCTTATTTGCTTGTAATTTTTCATCACTCTGGGCCAGATCACGCATTACTTGTCGTTTTTGCTCTGCCGTCATCTCTTTACCCTCCGTTGCCGCCTTCCATTTCAGCAGCATTCCCTTGAGGAGCGCACTGCCCTCCTCCACTTCTTCCTGGGAGTATTTGTCAAGCGAGGGCGCAGGAATCTGTGCCTGTCCATTTTCAGTTGTCGATGTAAAGTCCTCAAGCTCCTCGGCCTTCTGACGAGCCATGTTGACAACCTTATCTGGGAAGCGCACGAGCTCGGCGACATGAATACCGAAAGACTGATCACAGATTCCTGGCTCCACACGGTAGAGAAGGGTGACTTGACGCTTCTTGTGTTCCTCGGTTTCAGCCTCAGTCTCGCCCTCATTGCCGTTTCCAATGAATGCCACGACGTGCAGGTTCTTGACGGCTTTGGGATAACGGTCTGCCAAGGCAGTGAGCTCGTGGAAGTGAGTTGCGAACAAGCCAAAGCAGCGGATCTCAGTGACAATGTGTTCTGAAATAGCCCAAGCCAGGCCGAAGCCGTCGTACGTGCTAGTTCCACGGCCAAGTTCGTCGATGATAATCAGTGACTCCGAGGTGGCGGACTTGAGGATGTTGGATGTTTCAAGCATTTCTGCCATAAACGTCGATACACCCTTGAGCTGCGAGTCACTGGCTCCAACTCGAGCAAGAATGCAGTCGAAGATGGTCAGCTCGGCTTCTGTACAAGGGACGAAGCAGCCGGTCTGTGCCATGAGTGCAATCACACCGATCTGTCGGATGTATGTAGATTTACCGCCCATGTTAGGACCAGTGATGATAAGGAAAGATGATTCATCACGAATTAAGGAAACATCATTCGTGATGAAGGATATATCGTCCTGCATCTCCATGCAGGGATGCCGGGCTTCTTTTAAAACGGTGTTTCCAGTTCCTCGGGGGTGCATCTTTGGGCGAACATACCCCGACGGTGCGTGCATTGAAGCATGAGCAAAGCTCACAATGACATCGAGGTGTGCCAGTACACCGGCGAGTTGCTCCAACACCGGGCAATATGAAGCGGCGACGTTGACGACCTCGTTAACCAGACCGGTCTGGGTTCGGTTGTAGTTCGACGACAGTTGATCATGCTCTCGGCGAAGGGACTGCATGTTGGATGTAGTAAAGTATACGCCGTTCTTCTGCGTCGAACACTCCTGGTACTCTTTTTTATTGCGAATGCAGCCCGCCTCATTTCGAGTGAGCCGGAAGCACCAACCGTGCACACGATGATTCTCCATGAAGAGCTTTTTCTCCATATCTTGATTCAGATCCTTTGAAACTCGGCGATGTTCCATATCCATATCATATCGTAGTTTGTCCAGCTTTTTTCTGATGACTCGCAAGCCGTCATCGAACTCAGGTTTGATAATGAATTCGTGATTCTCCAGAGCAGCAAGATCAACCGTTGTTTCAACCATCTCCTCAAGCATGGACAAACTGTCAGAATAGCCACGGAGCTTAGACGTGTATTCTGTCTCTAGAGGGGTCTGGTACTGCTCATCCATAACATCACTCAGCGCGCTCACAAACCCAGGAAGACGGATCGCAACCTGGTACGCTCTGACAACGTCTTCCAAGTTGGCCTGTTTCCGCTGGAAACGTTTCGCTAACCGGTAAAGATCCGGAATGGAACGCAAATGTTCCTCCTGCATAGTCTGACGCAGCTCAGTGTTGACGACAAATGCCTCCACCAGCTGCTGCCGTTTCTCAATCGCAGCAAGGTCCATCAGAGGCTGCTTCAACCATTGGGACAACAAACGACTACCAACAGGCGTCTTACAGTGGTTCAACAAACCGAACAAGCTCATACTCTTAGCACCGTCTCGCGGACCAGGCATGAGGTTCAGCGCCCGAAGCGCCGAGGCATCAAGCTTCATGTACTGCGACAGATCATGCTGGTAGAGCTGATACTGGCCAAAGTTGGTAGGATCAGTCAAGACATTAAGATACTTGATCAGCGCCGATGCAGACCCCATGGCCAATTTCAGCTCGGTCTGAGGCAGTGTACCGGCAGACCTTTCATCCCTCAACAATCTTGTAAGATCCTGTTCGATATCTTTGACACCAAAGTCGGCAACAGGCCTCTCAGAGATCGCAATCCCACAGCTATCCGCAATAGCCCTGATTTTCGCCAGCTCCACATCCTTGCGAGCCGCATCCATGGTCACGAGACACTCTTTCACACCGAGCTGGATAACCAACGACTCGAAATTGGAGTAGATATCATTATCGAGGAATTCACTGACGCCCAACTCGCGCACGCTCGCATCAGCAAAGCACACGCCGACATTCCGGGCCTCCGCTGCGCGAGCGGAGATCTTCACTGCGAGGATAATAGGCGCAGAATCCATTGACATCGCGCCCACGCTGCCGAGCTCTTCTTCCACATCTTGCAAGTTGCCTGGGCTGGCTTGCTTCGCCAACTTCCAGTTGCTCTTGCCCGAGCCAGCCGAGGCGAAAATCTCAATACGCTTGTTCAATCGGAAAAGGGCTTCACGGAGGAAGTTTCGGAAGACTGTGACGCTCATCGTGACCGAGGGGAGGCCGCCTGTTTCGCTGCGGCCTAGGTTTCGAAGCACAGAGGTTGTTTTGTAGACGGTGCGTGCGATGAATTCGGCATCAGCACCGTGCGAGGAATACCAGTCGCCTCGGTCGAATACGCGGATGGTTTCATTATTATCGGGTTCAGGGAGGCCACGGTAGAAGCCAATGAAGCCGACTTCGTCGTCGACCTGTGTAAATTCAGTATTCGAGTTAGTGGATGTTGGATTCGGGGGTTTAGAGAATCGATTTCCCATTTCATACCTTTAAGTCAGGTCGGGAAGACATGGTGTGGATGTGAAAAGAAATGCAGCAAAGGACAATTCAAATGCTGGTATCAAGGTGGTTTGGACGAGTCCAATTCGACGCGCTGAAATCGCGTGGTCCGTGCACGCGTCGCGCGTTAAGTGCCCCAGGATCTCCGTGCTAGGGGCCTAAAGAGGTTTCGTCAATTTCATTAATCAAGTATTATTTCGTGCATTTGGGCCATTTTTGCAGTCTTTCTTACTTTAGGTACTAAGGGATAGAAGAAAATTTCTATAACAAAGATTACATCTAAGGAAATATCTGAGAAGACATCTAAAAAGATATCCCGCAAGACTTATCAAGGTTGCATAAGTTAACTATACTTGTCAAATGCTACTACGTATATATCAAAAGGTTGCTTCGCACATTTCGAGCAGTTTTACTATACTTGACATAACAATAGGATGATGGATGGGAGGCTAGAAACACCTTTAATGCCGTTTTGAGCCTCGCCCTCTAAATCATCTCAATAATTTTCAGGGGCTTCGAGGAAAGTGTAATTTTTGTACTTACTTAGTCTTGATGATCTCTCATGACACTTTTCAAGTAGATCTTTTGTAGGGATTGAACAGGGAAGGCAAAAGACTACCACTGAAGTGCTCTCACGAATGAGTATTTAGGAGAAATGCTATAGCTACTGAGGGTTTATTTCCAGAGCCTTCTGCCTGGCAGATTCATTTCCTATGTCCGCCACCGGAAGGCCGGGTTGCGCCAATCCAGGTCCTGGATTTGCTTCTGCGACATTCCAGCCAAAGCCTGATCAATATTCGCCTTGTCGCGCTTCTTGTTGTCCCATTTCATCCACATCCACATCAACGCACCCAGGATCAGCATCAAAGACGATGTCGCCAGGTTCAATCCGTTTCCGATATGGTAGTCAGGGCCATCAAAGGGGAGGAACGACCAGGTAGAGATCAGTCCACCGATATTACCCATCATGACATTGATGCCGATAGCGCTAGAACGTGCTGTATCCGACACTACATTATTAGAGACATGCGCGTTGCAGAGGGCGCCGAAGACAAAGGCACCACTAGCTATGAGGAAGGTTGCACCGTAGCGGACCATAGAGTCCTTGCTAACCAAGAACATGATATAACCCACCATCATCAGAGGAGGACAAGTAACAAAGT